CACGGTGCTGTGGCTGACATCCTTGTCTATGTCAGATATGAGGATGAGGGAAAAAGATGGGAGCGAGTACTGTGCCTTGTGGAACAGAGCTTTTCAACGTAGCTGCCTCGGACTTTACTCTGTTGACGACTACTCTCTGTGTTCTGTTAGTGAGGAAATTATAGATCCATCGACCGACTTTTCCTGTTATTCCTTTAGCATGCATTTTGTGCGCTATTACGCCATGGTCACACTTGTCGCAGGCTTTTGCAAAGTCTGTATATATTACATCTGCATTCTTTTTGTCTTCTAGTGCATTTAGGACCTTGTCGTAGTGATCCAATAGTTGAGACAGACAGGAGCGACCTGTTCTAAACCCATGTTGCCCTGGGTTGTGTAACTGATGGGTTTCTAGATGGGTGGTGATCTTGCTTCTTAGGACCCTTTCAAAGATTTTTATGATATGGGATGTGATGAATGGTTTGAAAAACCGACAAGTTGAAGATTGAGACACTTATACAGCATATGGGAATCTTTATTTAGGAAACGTTTCGCCACACAGTGGCTTCATCAGTCCAATACAAAGAGGAAGGCGTAAGGAGAGGAGGAGTATGAGGTAATCAGTCCCTCAGCCTGGAGTCGATGTGTTCAGTCCATCAATCTTGTAGAATGTACAGCATAGGGCCGTAGACGTGGCTTATATACTGTAGTGAGGTGAGGTGAAGCAGGCGGAGGCGGGGTCATAGTGGTACCATCCACTAGTCGAAGTAGGTCATCGTCCAAAGGTTGAACAAGTGTTGAAGAATTCTTTGTAACAAGATCCCATGATGCTGCAGTGTCTGACAGTTGTGATGAATGGTTTGAAAAACCGACAAGTTGAAGATTGAGACACTTATACAGCATATGGGAATCTTTATTCATGATATGGGATGTTAGTGCTATTGGTCTATAGTTCTTTGCTGTTGCTTTACTGCCCCCTTTGTGGAGTGGGGCTATGTCTGTTGTTTTTAGTAACTGTGGGACGACCCCCGTGTCCTTGCTCCCTCTCCATAGGATAGAAAAGGCTCGTGATAGGGGCTTCTTGCAGTTCTTGATGAACACGGAGTTCCATGAGTCTGGCCCTGGGGCAGAGTGCATGGGCATGTCATTTATCGCCTGTTCGAAGTCATTTGGCGTCAGGATAACATCGGATAGGCTTGTGTTAATCAAATTTTGTGGCTCTCTCATAAAAAATTCATTTTGATCTTCGACTCTCAGTCTGATTAGCGGCTTGCTAAAAACTGAGTCATATTGGGACTTGAGTAGCTCACTCCTTTCCTTGCTGTCATCTGTGTAGGACCCATCTTGTTTAAGTAGGGGCCCAATACTGGACGTTGTTCTCGACTTTGATTTGGCATAGGAGAAGAATCTGCATGACAGTGTCTTTCATTGCAGACACTGCAAAGCTCCAGGCGGACATCAACCAAATCTTTCAGTGGGCTGCAGAAAACAATATGAAGTTCAACGATGAGAAATTTCAATTACTCAGATATGGTAAACATGAGGAAATTAAATCTTCATCAGAGTACAAAACAAATTCTGGCCACAAAATAGAGCGAAACACCAACGTCAAAGACCTGGGAGTGATCATGTCGGAGGATCTCACCTTCAAGGACCATAACATTGTATCAATCGCATCGGCTAGAAAAATGACAGGATGGATAATGAGAACCTTCAAAACTAGGGAGGCCAAGCCCATGATGACACTCTTCAGGTCACTTGTTCTATCTAGGCTGAATATTGCTGCACACTAACAGCACTTTCAAGGCAGGTGAAATTGCCGACCTAGAAAATGTACAGAGAACTTTCACGGCACGCATAACGGAGATAAAACACCTCAATTATTGGGAGTGCTTGAGGTTCCTAAACCTGTATTCCCTGGAACGCAGGAGGGAGAGATACATGATTATATACACCTAGAAAATCCTAGAGGGACTAGTACCGAACTTGCACACGAAAATCACTCACTACGAAAGCAAAAGACTTGGCAGACGATGCACCATCCCCCCAATGAAAAGCAGGGGTGTCACTAGCACGTTAAGAGACCATACAATAAGTGTCAGGGGCCCGAGACTGTTCAACTGCCTCCCAGCATACATAAGGGGGATTATCAACAGACCCCTGGCAGTCTTCAAGCTGGCACTGGACAAGCACCTAAAGTCAGTTCCTGATCAGCCGGGCTGTGGCTCGTACGTTGGTTTGCGTGCAGCCAGCAGCAACAGCCTGGTTGATCAGGCTCTGATCCACCAGGAGGCCTGGTCACAGACCGGGCCGCGGGGGCGTTGACCCCCGGAACTCTCTCCAGGTAAACTCCAGGTTCTTTCGATTTCATTTATGGCTTTTAGTTCTTCCCGCGATTCCTGACTCCTATAAGATTCCTTTAGCTTAAGTTCGATGCTTGCTATTTCTCTGATCAGTGTCTCCCTACGCATTTCAGATATATTAACCTCTTTTAGCCGCTCTGTTATTCTTTTCCGTCGCCTGTAAAGGGAGCGCCTGTCTCTTTCTATTTTACATTTACTCCTCCTTTTTCTTAGAGGAATAAGCCTTGTGCATACATCGAGTGCCACCAAGTTAATCTGTTCTAGGCATAAGTTGGGGTCTGTGTTGCTTAGTATATCTTCCCAGCTTATATCGGTTAGGACTTGGTTTACTTGGTCCCACTTTATGTTTTTGTTATTGAAGTTGAATTTGGTGAATGCTCCCTCGTGACTAGTCTCATTATGTCTCAATTATGTTGTGATCTGAGTATATTGTTTTTGATATGGTGACATTTCTTATCAGATCATCATTGTTAGTGAAGATGAGGTCTAGTGTATTCTCCAGTCTAGTAGGCTCTATTATTTTCTGGTTTAAATTAAATTTTGTGCAGAGATTTAAAAGCTCGTGTGAGTGTGAGTTTTCATCAGAGCTGCCTCCTGGTGTTATTACTGCAACAATATTATTTGCTATATTCCTCCATTTTAGGTGCCTTAAGTTGAAATCCCCCAGGAGCAAGATGTTGGGTGCAGGAGCTGGAAGATTTTCCAGACAGTGGTCAATTTTTAACAGCTGTTCCTGGAATTGCTGGGATGTTGCATCCGGAGGCTTGTAGACTACCACAATGACTAGGTTTTGGTACTCGACCTTTACTGCTAAAACTTCCACTACATCATTTGAGGCATTAAGCAGTTCTCTGCAAACAAGTGACTCTGCAATGTATAGGCCAATCCCCACTTTTGCCTGTTCACTCTGTCACATCTGTGTAGGTTGTAACCTGGGATCCATATTTCGTTGTCCAAGTGATCCTTTATGTGGGTCTCAGTGAAAGCCGCGAACATTGCCTTTGCCACTGGAAGCAGTCCACGGATGAAAGGTATTTTGTTGTTTGTTGCTGGCTTTAGACCCTGTATATTTGCAAAGAAGAATGTCATCGGACTGGTGGTATTGTTGGTACTAGGGGGGGATTATTTTTCCGGCATTAGTATATGTATCTGTTGGTTTGGAGTGGAGGCCATCGACTGTTTACCTGGAGTTTACCTGGAGAGAGTTCCGGGGGTCAACGCCCCCGCGGCCCGGTCTGTGACCAGGCCTCCTGTGGTTCCACTCCAGGAATGACTGGATTTGGTGTACGATTTCTGCCATTTCCTGCCAGTTTTTTTTCCTTCCTGGCACTAAAAAACCACTCCCTCTTGAGTGGCTGTGGCTACCCAGGTTTTCCCATGGCCTGGATGTTTTGTATCTTTTTGTCCCCTTTAGATGGTGTGCCTGGCAATTTAAGTTATAGCACAGTCTTTCCTGTACTGAAGAGGTACACAGTTCAGGGTGAAAAAGCTTACAGGAAGGGAGTTTGCATTTTCCTGTTGTCATATGGGCATGGCATTTTCTAGGGTGGTCATAGTTGCACGTCATTGTGTCGGTATTTTATACCATTTATTTCCAACCCTTCGGGGCCTAGTTCCTGGGCCTTTTGTGTATCCATATGCTCTTGCGCTACCGTCCACAGGATGGATATGGGGTGCACAATAAACTAGCCACTTCGGTGGCAAAATCTAATCTAATCTAGGGCCCGGGTTCGATTCCCGGCGGGTGGAAACATTTCGACACAGTTTCCTTACACTGTTGTCCTGTTCACCTAGCAGCAAATAGGTACCTGGGTGTTAGTCGACTGGTGTGGGTCGCATCCTGGGGGACAAGATGAAGGATCCCAATGCCAATGGAAATAAGTCAGACAGTCCTCGATGACGCACTGACTTTCTTGGGTTATCCTGGGTGGCTAACCCTCCGGGGTTAAAAATCCGAACGAAATCTTATCTTATCCAAGAAATGTGTAAATGTACTTTAATAAACTTATTTACTTAATTATATATATGCATACTTAATAATTTACAGTGGTAATGAACTATTTACATGTTTATGACCAAGTATAGTCGTAGTGAGTTATTCATGCGGTCATGAATTCAGTTAGAAATAAATTAGAGTGTAGTTTACAGTGGATGTGCTTAAAAACAGTTAACAACATAAATGGACTGGCACGCACTGCATGCTAGTGGCTTCCTTTTTTGCGTAGCAATATTTTATTACGTGTAAACTACAGTTTGTATACTGCAGAAAATAAATATTGTAACTGCTTTTCAATCAGTTGAGTTACTTAGCTGTATTAACTTTTAAGGTTTAAATAATAAGATATTGCAAGGACCCCAACGGAATTAAGTCAGTTTGACTTTTTTGGGGTTATCTTAGGTAATCTACACATATACTGCTATGTATGATAATTTATGTAACTGTATTTATGTGTATCAGTACCTGAATTTAATGTATATTGGTATATAATGCCTAGGCATAATAGAGGCTCTCTTTGCATTGCAACCTACTATTGTATATACACAATCCCAATGTACTGTTTGCAAAGACATTAAATAAATAAATAAATAAATAAATAAATATACATATTGTAACTTGTGCAAGAGTTCGCTGGAGGTGGTTGTATGCAGGTGGGAAGGTCGCTGAGTGTGTTAGCTGCCTGGGTTGTTGTGACACTGAGGGAAAGTGACGAACTTCCTGGCACTCCTCTCACAACAATCAAAGAAAGAATCTCGCAATTATTGTTGTGTTCTGCTTCCGGGTTTACTACTTGCAAGTATGGCAAGGAGGAGGGACTACTCGTACATAAGCCCATGTATTAAGTGGACTTTATTCTTTTTCAACTTTATATTCTGGGTAAGTGGTGGTGGTGAGTAATAAAGTGTGGGTGTTATAATTTTTGACGCCACTTCTCTAGCCTTGATTAATAATGCTGTCCTCTTACTTTCTTTTTACCATGTATTTAACTATGTAATAAAAAAAAGATGCATTTAAGTGAGTTACCTATCTTAAATGTTATTTGTAAGTTATACCATTGGGGTCAAGGACCCCTAGGGAAATAAAGTCTCTGACTTTTTTTTGGGTTATCCTAGGTAATTTACACTTATGTTACTATGTATGATAATTTGTGCATCTATTCATGTGTATCTGTACCTAAATACGAGCCTGGCCCCTACCTTTGAAGAGTTTACCTTGAAAGATAAAGATTTTATATCTTTGCAAGGTTAGTGTGTGTGTTTACAGTTTTGATGAGTTAAGTACATAGAAAGCCACTATTATGCCGGGGCATTTCGGGCAGACTTATCCTAATACATAATTATTTAAGTTTAGACAAGATAAGTGTGGTTAACGTTTTAATAAATCTTTATTTTATCATAATATTAATGTGAGGTAGTCAAGGTGGAGGTTTATAAGAATAATAATTTTGAAGTTGCACATAATAAAAACAATATTAGGTTGCACGTAAAAACAATATTAAGTTGCACATAAAAATGATATGAAGTTGCACATAATAAAAACAATATGACAATTTATGGTTCAGACAACAATATTTCATGGATTGGCAGATGTTTTATTAGACTTGAGGTCATATAATATACTATTTGGGAGTTGCATGAAACTGGTTAGAAGTTGTTTTGGTTGGTTTGGTTAATACAAGAATTCCCAAGTATTAAGATCCCAAGAAGTTGCAGTGTCTGACAGGATTGTAGATGAATGGTTCACAGAACCGACACGTTGATAAATTAGACACGTGCAACTCTTGGGTATCTTTATTAAGGAAACGTTTCGCCACACAGTGGTTTCATCAGTGTCTGACAATCCTGTCAGACACTGCAACTTCTTGGGATCTTAATACTTGGGAATTCTTTGCTTGCCTAACCCTTGGGCACGACCTACTTCCACATTGGGCAAATGTGACACCACCTATGACTGCTGCACCTCTCCTGCCTATGGTTTATAAGCTCCTTCTCCGCTCATATGCTGTATTCTACTCAAGATTGATGGACTGACCACATCGACTCAAGGTTGAGGGACTGATTACCTCATTCTCTGCCTATTCTTCAAGCTTCTCCTGTGTATGGACTGATGAAGCCACTGTGTGGCGAAACGTTTCCTTAATAAAGATACCCAAGAGTTGCATGTGTCTAATTTATCAACGTGTCGGTTCTGTGAACCATTCATCTGGTTTTACAACGAAAAGTACCTTGAAATTGAGCTCAAAGTAGCAGAAATGTTCGATTTTTACCAAAGTTCAAAAGTAAACAAATTCTAAGCATCCAATACACGTCAACTGGTGAGGCTAATATTCTTTCACAAGTGCGCTGATATTATTTATACCATTTCTACACTAATGCAGTAGTCTACACAGTAAATCTTATTTTTTTGTGAGAATAAAAATTCATAGTGGAAAGCAAAAGAAATGCAAGAGGGGCCTGGGGACGTGACTAATGAACAGAGGAAATGTTATTTTAGTGCCAGGAATGTCTTTCTTGTTTATTCTGGACCCTAATTGGAAATTGGCATCTTTTGAAATTTGTGTGAAATTGGCAAAATTGCTAAATTCTGACCAATGGATTGGATAGTTGAAATCGGTAAATTGGTGGTTTCTTGTACTCATTCGATAGAAAAAATGGAGTTCTAGCAAAATAGTTATGATTTTTGTCGACTAGTACATTGGAATTGGCCGAAAATACGGCTCAAAGTGGGCAAAGTCGCTGATGCGTTAACATATCGAGACCACTAACTTCGCGAGAGCATAATTCCGTAAGTTTTCCACCAAATTTCATACTTTTGGTGTCATTATGATCAGGAAAAGATTCTCTATCTTTTCATAAGAAAAAATAATTTTTTTTTTTTTTTTTGAAATTTGGGGGACCCTGAGAACAAGTCTCTGAGAGGGCCTGTGGACCCTGAAAGGGTTAACCCTTAAACTGTTCAAGCAGATCAACGTTCACATGCAGTGGCTGGCTTGTAAACACTGGGCTCAGGCCACACATGGACACGTCTCGAACGGAACAAATCGCGTTGGGCGAGTTTTTTAGCGCTATCCGAGGCAAAATTTTTGCGTTAAAATGTATCGCTAGGCAGATTTAACGTTATGCGATGTGTTCGTTAGACGAGGGTCCACTGTATAACAAAAAAAAAAAAAAAGAGTAGATCAAAGTTTTTTAGACGTTTTCAAATGTAAAAAAAAAAAAATAGATCTACTTTTTTTACACACTTTCAAATGTTGAAAAAATGTATATGTACGTTTGGACCGTTTACGAGTTAAAAGAAATGTCAGCTGACATAATTATTCCAAAGTCTTTTATGTGTTCCTTTCGTTCTTTTTGATGACCCTATCTAAGCAGCTGGAACTTATCACCATTGAATGTCATGTTCTCCACTGCCCACTGGAAAACCCTGCTTACGTCTTCCTGAAATATTTTAGTGTTCTTTACTGTAGTGGCTTTCATGCTTATTTTAGTTTCCTCTGCAAGTGATGATACAAAAGTGTGATGGGTGTTTTTATCTATGTCTACTAGGAGGATGAGAAACAGCAGAGGTGCCAGGACAGTGCCCTGGGGCACTGCTTTTTACCTTGCTGATGCTGGATCTGACACTGTTTACTAAAACTTTTTGTGTTGTGTGTGTTAGGAACCTGAAAATTCATCTGCCTTCCTTCCCCGTAATGCTCACGGCCCTCATTTTGTGCGATATCGCTCCATGATCGCATTTGTCAAATGCCTTTGCAAAATCTGTGTAGAGCACATCTGCCGGATTCCTGGAGTAGAAAGACTCGAAACTCATCAGAGGTATAAACTTTGTTTATGACCCCTTAGGGACTGTATATATAAGCAATTAATTAGTTATTACCATTTTAATCTTAAGATGGGCTTAAATTTGCCCAAAGTGCTCTGCATAACAATGGGCTCTCTGCATGCATGTCTAAATTTCACCCATCTCTATAAACATTGTATCATGCTGAAATAAAGATTATTACAGTAGAGTCCCACTTTACGGTGTTTTGCCTTATGGCGTTCCGCTAATGTAGACATTTCAAATTTTAACCAAAAAACACGTTACGGCTCCCCCCACCTGACTTTCTAATATGGTCACCGCGCCCCACCCAGTTTGTTTACATTCTCAGCAAGCACGACTCCATTATGTCAACCTCTCAAGGGAGGTTCCTTGACACTGGTGAGGGGCTCTTGATTTAGGGAATTGGATATGTGCTCCAGTTCCCTTAACCCTTTGAGGGTCGACAGGCCCTCTCCGAAACTCGTTCTCAGGGTCGGCCAAATTTAAAAAAAAAAAAATTATTTTCTCTTATGAAAAGATAGAGAATCTTTTCCCGATCATAACGACACCAAAAGTTTGAAATTTGATAGAAAACTTACGGAATTATGCTCTCGCAAAGTTAGCGGTCTCGGCGATGTTTACGGATCGGCGATTTTGCCCACTTTGAGCCCCATTTTCGGCCAATTTCACTGTACTAGTCGACAAAAAACATGAATATTTCGCTAGAACTCCATTTTTTCTATCGAATGGGTGCAAGAAACCACCCATTTATAAATTCAACTATCCAGTACAGTGGTCAGAATTTAGCAATTTTACCAATTTCACACAAATTTCAAAAGATGCCAATTTAGGAATAGGGTCCAGAATAAACAAGAAAGACATTCCTGGCACTAAAATGACATTTCCTCTAGTCATTAGTCTCGTCTCAAGGCCCCTCTTATATTCTTTTGCTTTCCACTTTGAATTTTTATTCTCACAAAAAATATAAGATTTACTGTTATGCAGACTACTCCATTAGTGTAAAAAATGGTATAAATATTATTGGTGCACTTGTGAAAGAATATTAGACTCACCAGTTGACGTGTATTGCACGCTTGGCACGATTTGTTTACTTTTGAAGTTTGGTAAAAATCGAACATTTCTGCTACTTTGAGCTCAATTTCAAGGCACCTTTCATTGTAAAACCAGTCAAAATCATCTCAATTTCAGTAATATGTCTTCCATTCTATAAAATGAGACCAAGAAAACTAGAATACAACAATAAATACCATACGAAAATACACTGCAAAGTCGCTGATTTATTAAAAAAAAATGGAAAAAGTTTTTTTTTTCTCATTATGCACTGTGTGCTGCAGGATTTTTTTTAGACTGTGCACACTGACCACATAGACCCATTCTTTCATATGAAGGCCTACCGGCTTTCTCCCACTAGATTTGAGGTCGCTAGAATTTATGAGTACTAGTACGTCAAAAACCCCTACGCGTAAGACGTACTAGTACGACGAAAACCCTCAAAGGGTTAATTAAGCCTGAATACCGTCCATCTCCCCCCCACAGGCGCTGTATAATCCTACGGGTTTAGCGCTTCCCCATGATTATAACAATAATAATAATAAAAATAATAATAATAATTCATTATGTCTCAAAACTTTCCAAAATTTCAAGTGTTTTAAAGTTATTTCATATTTTATATAGTACTCTGGTAATTATACTGATGTGTCCCTGTACCTAAATAAACTCACACACTGTGCTGGCATGCAGGTAAACATTAAAATCGCTAAGAGTGTCTTATTAGCCTTGATGCCATATTAATAATGAAAATAATAACATAATAATAATCACCCTGAGGCGCATTAAATGTCGTATATTACATCAATATAAACATTTTCATTAATCCATTTATGATATTTTTTCAAAATTATATAATAAACATGTTAAGTAACATAAAAACGTGGAAACTTTTCGACGCATTTCCTTACACCTTTTGTCCTGTTCACCTAGCAGCAAATAGGTACCTGGGTGTTAGTTGACTGGTGTGGGTCACATCCTGGGGGACAAGATAAAGGACCCCAATGGAAATAAGTTAGACAGTCCTCGATGATGTACTGACTTTCTTGGGTTATCCTGGGTGGCTAACCCTCTGGGGTTAAAAATCCGAACGAAATCTTATCATTTCATAAGAAAAAATATTTTTTTTTTTTTTAAATTTTGTGACACCAGGAGACACCTCAGGATTGGGGGCTGCGACAGTCAAGGGGTTAAATGTTCATTTATCCATTAAAATTAGTGCTTTGTATTTATTATCCATTGTTTTCTGTATGTAGAAGTATAGTTATTCTCTATAAAATGTATTTTTTGTTAATATTTTTGGGTGTTTGGAATGGATTAATTGGATTTTCATTATTTCTTATGGGAAATGTTCCTTTAGTTTTCGTCGAATTTGGTTTTTGTCATACTCTGTGGAATGAATTAAAAGCAAAAATTGGGGTTTCACTGTACTCTCCTCTCACCCAACATTAAGATGACAAATATTTTGAGGTACAGTGGACCCCCACTTTACGATATTAATCCGTTCCTGAGAGCTCATCGTAAGCCGAAATTATTGTTAGCCGAAATAATTTTCCCCATAAGAAATAATGGAAATCAAATTAATCCGTTCCTGACACCCCAAAGTTTGAAAAAAAAAATTTTTTACCACATGAAATATTAATTTTAATACACACAAACTGAAGAAGACATGCACAATTACTACTCAACTAAGAACAGAATACATGACACCTACCTTTATTGAAGATCTGGTGATGATTGGTGGGATGGGAGGAAGGGAGAGTGTGGAAGTTATCGTTTAGAAGGGGAATCCACTTCCATCAGGACTTGTGGTAGCAAGTCCTTTTCCGGGGGTTACTTCCCTTCTGCTTTTAGTGTCATTGTACAGGTTGCCAATACGGCTTGCAGTAGCTGTGTCAGGGTGATTTTCATCCGTAAAGGTTTGCAGTTCAAACCACTTTGCACTCATTTCCTTAATCTCTTTTTTCAATTCCATACTAATTCTTGCCCTTTTTACCACAGGGATGGCACTAGAAGCTTTCTTGGGGTCCATGGTGACTTATTTTGCAGTTCTTTCTTTTTTTCAACACACTCGTCGTATCCCACCGAGGCGGGGTGGCCCAAAAGGAAAAACAAAAGTTTCTCCTTTCACATTTAGTAATATATACAGGAGAAGGGGTTACTAACCCCTTGCTCCTGGCATTTTAGTCGCCTCTTACAACACGCATAGCTTACGGAGGAAGAATTCTGTTCTGCTTCCCCATGGAGATAAGAGGAAATAAACAAGAACAAGAACTAGTAAGAAAATAGAAGAAAACCCAGAAGGGTGTGTATATATATGCTTGTACATGTATGTGTAGTGTGACCCAAGTGTAAGCAGAAGTAGCAAGATGTACCTGAAACCTTGCATGTTTATGAGACAGAAAAAACACCAGCAATCCTACCATCATGTAAAACAATTACAGGCTTTCATTTTACATTCACTTGGCAGGATGGTAGTACCTGCCTGGGCAGCTGCTGTCTACCAACCTACTACCTACATTATTTTGCAGTTACAAGCACTAAAAACACTGGGATAATGTGAAATGTACCAAATGTATGCGTAGATGCGACTGCACTGGCTGGCTTGTAAACACTGGCGCTGAGGCCACACGTGGGACACGTCCTTGACGAATCACGTAAGGCGAGTTTTTTATCGTGAGGCGAGGCAAAATTTTTGCATTCAAATGCATCGTATGGCGGATTTAATGTAACATGATGCGTTCGTGAGGCGGGGGTCCACTGTAATGAGTGTACTATGTGTGTATTTTACTTATTATTGTTTTTTAATGCCTAGCTATGCCATTAACTTAATATATGTTAGTGTAAACTTGTTATCTAGCATTTATATGCATTTATAAGTGAAAAAATGGCATTCCACTTTCTGGTGGTAGCCTGGAACCTAACCTGCCATATAAGTGGGGCCGTATTGTATACAGGAGGGTAATACTGTACAAGGACACACTCTTCAGGGGAAGCTTCCTGATGTTGTTAAAGGGCTTTTGATCCTAGAATTCAGTCTGATCTACACTTCCATGGATTGAATCTAATTGCCTTCCATTTTTCCCAGGTGCTGTATGACCCCTACAGGCTTAGCACTGTCCCACAAATAATGAGGATGATGATGATGATGTAACAAAATAAATTGCAAATTGAGGAAAGAAAATTTTTCTCCACATAGTGATGGACTAATGGAATGAATTTAGATGATATTGCTACAACTATTGCAAATTTCTATAAAATGACTTAACAGAATAAATAGAAAACTACTGTAGTATATGAATTTGTTTGCTGCTGATGAAAAAATCTTGTATCAAATAAAAATTACTAAATCTTTACAATATTATTTGGATAAATTGAGCAAATGGAGTGATAGATGGATGACTGAATTTAATGTTAATAGTAAATGATGGTGAATGTTTAATTTTTTGGGTTGTCCTACTTTGGTAGGAGATTGCCAGTGTGGTAAGAGACAAAACACAATTATTAATTGAATTAGTGGTTTATTGTAAGTAAACTCATTTTCATAAGATTTCTTATGGGTAATGTATTAGTTTGAGCTAATATGGCTAAACTGAGTAGGTGTTTATGTAACTAATAATAAGGTTAAAAAGGTAAAAAATAATGATTAAAAGTGGCTAAGATGCCTTGTTGATCTCATTTAATTTACCTCAATATTGATTAATATATTCATATTTTATTCTTTACAGTTATTTGGGATGCTCATCATAGCTATTGGTCTCTATGGTGTTGTGTTCACAGCTCAGGATTTGAATGGACTTAAGTCTGTGCAGATTGCATACATTGTCATCACAGATCTCTCAGGGGTTATGGTCGCACTTGGCAGTATTATCTTCATAGTGTCTTTTGCTGGCTGTGTTGGAGCTCTCAGAGAAAATCTCTGTTTACTGAAACTTGTGAGTATTGAAAGTCTTTAATATCGTATTTAAGTAAAGTACACAGTTTCTAGATTCATTAATATCTCTGACATGTAACCAATATTTGATGTAGCAAGAATATGTTAGATATGTATTAGGTATAGGAGGGACCTGTTTTACAGCACTTTGATTTACAGTGATTCACTTTATGGTGATTTCCTAATAAAGTGGTACCTCGGGATAAGAACTTGAACAATTGTGTAAGTGTATTTTTGGGGGTCTGAAACTGGTTAAGCTACTTTACATTATTCCTTTTTTATTTTAACAAACCAGCCGTATCCCACCGAGGCAGGGTGGCCCAAAAAGAAAAACAAAAGTTTCTCTCTTTAAATTTAGTAATTTATACAGGAGAAGGGGTTACTAGCCCCTTGCTCCCAGCATTTTAGTCTCTTATAACACGCATGGCTTACAGAGGAAGAATTCTGTTCCACTTCCCCATGGAGATAAGAAATAAACAAGAATAAGAACTAGAAAGGAAATAGAAGAAAACCCAGAGGGGTGTGTGTATATACAGTGGACCCTCAGTTAGCAATGCCATCGGATAGCGATAAAATCGGATACCGATACGTTTTTCCATCAAAATATTGGCTTGACTAATGATAAGAAACTTGGTTAAGGACATTCATCCAGAACGTGTCCCTGCGGCCTGAGCCACCCGGCCACTCCAATGTGGTTAGTGTGCCATTGTTTGCAAGCCACTGCGGACGATTCCACGCATACATGCGATACATTTTGTATTATTCCATTTTTTTAGTGCTTGTAACTGCTAAATAAGCCACCATGGGCCCAAAGAAAGCTTTTAGTGCCAAACCTGTGGTAAAAAGGGTGAGAAATACTATTGAATTGAAGAAAGAGATAATCGCAAAGTACGAAAGTGGAGTGCATGCCTCCGAGCTGGCCAGGTTGTATAACAAACCCCAATCAACCATCACTTCTATCTTGGCCAACAAAAAGGCAATCAAGGAAGCTGTTGTTGCAAAAGGTGCAAATGTGCTTACAAAACAGAGATCGCAAATACTCGAAGATGTGGAGAGACTGTTGTTGGTGTGGATCAACGAGAAACAATTATCAGCAGATAGTGTTTCACAGTCAATTATGTGTGAAAAGGCAAGGCAGTTGCATGATCTAATTAAGAAAATGCCTGGAACTGGTGCTGATGTTAGTGAATTTAAAGCCAGCAAAGGTTGGTTTGAGAGATTTAAGAATCGTAGTGGCATACACAGTGTGATAAGGCATGGTGAGGCTGCCAGTTTGGACAAAAAAGTGGCTGAAAATATGTGCAGGACCTTAAGGGGTACATAGAGGCTGAAAAATTAAAACCCCAACAAGTGTTGAATTGTGATGAAACAGGCCTGTTTTGGAAGAAAATGCCAAACAGGACCTACATTACTCAGGAGGAAAAGGCACTCCAAGGACACAAGCCTGTGAAAGACAGGCTAACTCTCATGTTATGTAGTAATGCTAATGGGGATTGCAAAGTGAAGCCTTTACTGGTGTATCACTCTGAAACTCCCAGTGTGTTCAAGAATAACAGTGTCATCAAGCCTAACTTGTGTGTGATGTGGAGGGCAAACAGGAAGGCATGGGTCACTAGGGACATTATCCATGATTGGTTCTATCAAGTGTTTCGCCCCAGTGTGAAAAAATACCTCCTGGAAAATAAATTAGAACTCAAGTGCCTCCTGGTATTAGACAATGCTCCTGCTCATCCTTCAGACTTGGAAGAGCGAATTGTAGGGGAGTTTAGTTTCATAAAAGTGAAGTTTTTGCTTCCTAACACCACTCCTCTCCTCTAGCCCATGGACCAGCAAGTCATTTCAAATTTAAAAAAAACTGTACACCAAATCAGTGTTTCAGAAGTGCTTTGAAGTGACCTCAGACATTGAATGACCCTAAGAGAGTTCTGGAAAGATCAGTTCAGTATCCTCAGTTGCATAAACCTTATAGGTAAGGCTTGGGAGGGAGTGACTTCCAGGACTTTGAACTCGGCTTGGAGAAACTTGTGGCCAGAATGTGTACAAGAGAGGGATTTTGAAGGGTTTGGGGCTAACCCTGAGGAGCCTATACCAGTTGTGGAATCTATTGTGTCATTGGGGGAAGTCCATGGGGTTGGAGGTTAGTGGCGAGGATGTGGAAGAGTTGGTGGAGGACGACGATGATGAAGAGCTAACCACTGATGAGCTGCAAGAGCATCTGCAGCAGCAACAGACCACAGCTGAGGAAATTGCTTCAGAGGAGGGGGAAGAAAGATGGAAGAAGTTGCCTTCTTCAATGATTAACCCCTTGATTGTTGCAACCCCCAAATCCTGAGGTGTCTCCTGGTGTCGCAAAATCACCCCCCCCCCCAGAAAATTATTTTTTCTTATGAAATGATAGAGAATCTTTTCCCGGTTGTAATGACACCAAAAGAACGAAATTTGATGGAAAACTGACGGAATTACGCTCTTGCGAAGTTAGCGACGTTGGCGATATTTACGAATCTGCGATTTCACCCACTTTGAGCCCTATTTTCGGCTAATTCCATTGTTCCAGTCGACCAAACTTATAGCTATTTCTTTAGAACTCCATTTTTTCTATTGATCGAGTACAAGAAATTGCCCATTTACAGATTTCAACTACCCAATAACATGGTCAGAAATTTGCAATTTGGCCAATTTCATGGAAATTAAAAATATGACAATTTCAAAATAGGGTCCAGAATGAACAATGCAGACATTCCTGGCTCTAAAATAGCATTTTCTTTGTTCATCAGTCACGTCTCCAGGCCCCTTTGATATTATTCTTGCTTTCTATTTTGAATTTTTATTCAAACAAAAGAGAGAAGATTTACTGTTATGCAGACTACTGCAATATTGTAATAATTGTATAAATAATGCAAACCCATTCATGACTGCATATTAGAATGGCTACTTGGACATTTATTGGAAAATGACATCATTTGTTTACTTTTGAACATCGGCAAAAATCAAACATTTCCCCTACCTTGAGCTCTATTTCAAGGTTCTTTTCATAGTAAAACCAATCAAAATCACCTCTATTTCTACAATATGTTTTCCATTCTATCAAATGAGACCAAGAAAACGAGAATACAACCATAAATACTGTACATAAATAGACCACAAATTCAGCATTTTAATTTAAAGAAAACTGAGTTTTTTTTCTCATTATGCACTGCGTGCTGCAGGATTTTTTTATATGGTGCGGTGCACACTGACCACACAGACCCATTCTCTCACATGTGGGCCTACCAGCTTTCTCCTGCTTGATTTGAAGCCACTAGAATTTGAGTATATATACATCAAACACAGTACCTCGTAAGACGTATATATACGACCAAAACAGTCATTTTTACAATGTGGACAAAGGTGTAAGCCTTTATGCATGAACATCACCCTGACACAGCTGTTGCAAGCCGTGCTGGTGACTTTTACAATGACAATGTTGTGTCCCATTTTAAGGAAATCTCAAAGGCACGCCAGAAACAGAGCTCTCTGGACAGATTTTTGGTGCGACAGGGGTCCAGTGACTCTCAAGCTGGTCCTAGTGGCATTAAAAAAGAAAGAAGGGAGGTAACCCCAGAAAAGGACTTGCTACCTGAAGTCCTTATGGAAGGGGATTCCCCCTTCCAAACAATAATACACCTTCATCCTCTCCCCTCTCCTCCCATCTCATCACTCATCAATAAGTCTTCAATAAAGGTAAGTGTCATTTTATAAATTATTAATGTACATTAATAAATATTTATTCTGCATATCTCATTGTTTTCTGTGTAGGAAAATGTATATTTCATGTGAAAAAATTATTTTTTTTAATACTTTTGGGTGTCTGGAACAGATTAATTGGATTTCCATTATTTCTTATGGGGAAAATTAATTTGGATAACGATAAAATCGGTTAAGGACAAGCTCTCTGGAATGGATTAATATCGTTAACTGAGGGTCCACTGTATATACTTGTACATGTATATGTAGTGTGACCTAAGTGTAAGTAGAAGTAGCAAGGCGTACCTGAAATCTTTCATGATTATGAGACAGAAAAAAGGACACCAGCAATCCTACCATCATGTAAAACAGTTATAGGCTTTTGTTTTACACTCGCTTGGCAGAGTGGTAGTACCTCCCTGGGCAATTACTGTCTACCAACGTATTACATAGGTAGTGTGGGAACAAATTCGTTTGGTACTCGAATGCATCGGCACTCGAACAGCCTTCTGGACTGAATTAGGTTCGTATCCTGAGGTACCAGTGTACATACTCACATTTTTGTCCCTGTATTGTATTGATAAAGTCACTGGTTGACAAAATGTCTTCATAATAAAGATACCCAGTTGTGCATGTGTCTAATTCTTCGAATTCAGGTAGTTGATTATGGGACAGCTCAGTGTCTTCTGACAAGCTGTTAGATATTTTAGGTACTAGACCTTTATTTGCATAGTTCTTAAGTAGATTCATCCCTGTGTATTTTAAATATATGTATGTTCATTTTTTTTTTTTTCAAAAATTTCAGGGTATGTGTAATTTGAATGGTTTCAAATACTGTTACTGTACAACAATTTCATATTTTTCCTTTTAAGTACTTCTGGTGCTTGACCATCTTCCTGATTGCTGAACTGTTGTTTGCCATTGCCTGCATTATTTTTCCATGGAAATCAAGGGAAATTATTGAAAGTGTTTTGTCCAAGCGCCTGATAGTAGATTACGAAGAAACTGCAAACACAAAGAACTTTGTGGATTATCTTCAGCGAGAGGTATGGTACTGTCTATATTGAGTTTATAGTAGATTGTGGTATATTTTCAGATCTTTCCTGATATATTTTTACACTTATTCATTAAGTGCTATATCTGAAGCATAAATTTGTATACAGTTTTCATTTCTCATAGCAAAAGGAAGCTACAGTAGCCAGAGGTGATTAAAAAAATAGACTTATGTAATCATTTGACTTTGTGTTCATTCCTTGTAAACTTTTTATCTTTAGTGTGTATGATGGAGCTAAATAAGATGACTTGGAGGGTGTATGAATCTATAGTGGAGGGAAGTTCGGGTAGGAGTTGCCCTAGAAAAGGTGGTAGGGAAGGGTAAAGGTGGTATTGTGTGTGAAGGGCTTGGACATTCAATAGGTGTGTGTGTGTGTGTGTGTGTGTGTGTGTGTGTGTGTGTGTACGTGTGTGTACGTGTGTGTGTATGTGTGTGTGTACGTGTGTGTGTACATGTGTGTGTGTGTGTGTGTGTGTGTGTGTGTGTACGTGTGTGTGTGTACGTGTGTGTACGTGTGTGTGTGTGTACGTGTACTCGCCTAATTGTACTCGCCTAATTGTACTCACCTAATTGTGGTTGCAGGGGTCGAGACTCAGCTTCTGGCCCCGCCTCTTCACTGATCGCTACTAGGTCCTCTTCCTCTCTGCTTCCTGAGCTTTGTCATACCTCTTCTTAAAACTATGTATGGTTCCTGCCTCCACTACTTCACTTGCTAGGCTATTCCACTTTCTGACGACTCTATGACTAAAGAAATACTTCCTAACGTCCCTGTGACTCGTCTGAGTCTTCAGCTTCCAGTTGTGACCCCTTGTTTCTGTGTCCCCTCTCTGGAACATCCTATCTCTGTCCACCTTGTCTATTCCCCGCAGTATCTTGTATGTCGTTATCATGTCTCCCCTGACCCTTCTGTCCTCCAGTGTCGTCAGTCCGATTTCCCTCAACCTTTCCTCGTACAACATTCCCCTGAGCTCTGGGACTAGCCTTGTTGCAAACCTTTGTACTTTCTCTAACTTCTTGACGTGCTTGACCAGGTGTGGGTTCCAGACTGGTGCTGCATACTCCAGTATGGGCCTAACATACACGGTGTACAGTGTCTTGAATGATTCTTTATTAAGGTATCGGAACCCTATTCTCAGGTTTACCAGGCTCCCATATGCTGCAGCAGTTATTTGGTTGATGTGTGCCTCTGGTGACATGCTTGGTGTTATGGTCACCCCAAGGTCTTTCTCCCTGAGTGAGGTCTGTAGTCTTTGTCCACCTAGCCTATACTCTGTCTGCGGTCTTCTTTGCCCCTCCCCAATCTTCATGACTTTGCATTTGGCAGGGTTGAATTCGAGAAGCCAGTTTCTGGACCACATGTCCAGCCTGTCCAGGTCTCTTTGCAGTCCTGCCTCATCCTCATCCAATTTAATTCTTCTCATCAGCTTCACATCATCTGCGAATAGGGACACTTCAGAGTCTATTCCTTCCATCATGTTGTTCGTATATATAAAAAATAGCACTGGTCCTAGAACTGACCCCTGTGGGACCCCGCTCGTCACAGGCACCCACTGTGATACCTCTTCACGTACCATGACTCGTTGTTGCCTCCCTGTCAGGTATTCCCTGATCCATTGCAGTGCCCTCCCTGTTATATGTGCCTGATCCTCCAGCTTCTGCATTAATCTCTTGTAGGGAACTGTGTCAAAGGCCTTTCTGCAGTCTAGGAAAATGCAATCAACCCACCCCTCTCTCTCATGTCTTACTTCTGTTACCTTGTCATAAAACTCCAGAAGGTTTGTGACACAGGATTTGCCTTCCATGAACCCATGCTGGTTTTCATTTATAATCTTGTTCTGTTCCAGGTGTTCCACCACTCTCCTCCTGATAATCTTCTCCATGACTTTGCACACAATACATGTCAGAGACACAGGTCTGTAGTTTAGTGCCTCATTTCTGTTTCCTTTCTTAAATATGGGGACTACATTTGCTGTCTTCCATTTCTCAGGTAGTTGCCCAGTTTCAAGGGATGTGTTGAAGATTATGGTTAGGGGCACGCACAGCATCTCTGCTCCTTCTCTAAGGACCCACGGGGGGGATGTTGTCCGGTCCCATCGCCTTTGAGGTATCAAGGGCACTTAGCAGCTTCTGCACCTCCTCCTCGGTTGTTCGTATGTCATCCAACACTTGTTGGTATATTCCCTCTTGATGTTCCCTTCTGTGCTGTCTTCCCAGAGCCCTTCCTGTCTCTACTGTAAAAACTTCCTTAAATCTCCTGTTTAGCTCCTCACATACCTCCTGATCATTTCTTGTGAGTTCTCCACCTTCTGTCCTCAGTCTGATCACCTGGTCTTTGACTGTTGTCTTCCTCCTGATGTGGCTATGCAACAGTTTCGGGTCAGTCTTGATTTTCGATGCTATGTTATTTTCATACTGTCGCTGGGCCTCCCTCCTTACCTGTGCATACTCGTTCCTGGCTCTGCGACTAATTTCCCTATTTTCATGTGTTCTCTGCCTTCTGTACTTTTTCCATTCTCTACTGCACTTTGTTTTTGCCTCCTTACACCATCAGGTAAACCAGGGGCTTGTTCTGGTCTTCCCATTGTTTCTGTTGCCCTTGGGAATAAACCTTTCCACTACCTCCTTGCATTTTGTTGTTACATATTCCATCATTTCATTTACTGGCTTTCCTGCCAGTTCTCTGTCCCACGGAACCTCCTACAGGAAGTTCCTCAACCCTATGTAGTCCCCTCTATTATAGTCTGGCTTTTCCCATTCAACTCCTGTTACTCTCTCCACTTGCAACTCTACTATGTATTCAAGGCACAGAACCACGTGCACTAGCTCCTAGGGGACTCTCATATGTGATGTCCTCAATGTCTGAACTGCCCAGGGTGAACACAAGGTCCAATCTTGCTGGTTCATCCTCCCCTCTCACTCTGGTAGTGTCCTTAACATGTTGGTGCATGAGGTTTTCCAGCACCACATCCAACATCTTGGCTCTCCATGTTTTGGGACCCCCATGTGGCTCCAGGTTTTCCCAGTCAATCTCCCTGTGGTTGAAATCCCCCATAACCAGCAACTTTGCTCTGCTGGAGTGAGCTCTTCTTGCCACCTCAGCAAGTGTGTCCACCATTGCTTTGTTGCTCTCTTCATATTCCTCTCTTGGCCTCCTGAGGTTCTGTGGTGGATTATACATCACTGCAATGACCACCTTGTGCTCCCCAGACTGAAGTGTACCTTCTATGTAGTCCCTTTCTCCTGTCTCGTCTATGCCTCCCATTTTCTCGAATTTCCATCGTTTTTTTTATGAGCAGAGCAACCCCTCCTCCCCCTCTGCCCCTTCTATCTTTCCTCATGATCTGGTATCCTGGTGGGAAGATTGCATCTGTTATTGTCTTTGTGAGTTTTGTTTCTGTAACTGCTATGATGTCTGGGGACTTCTCATTGATTCTTTCTTGCCATTCCTCATATTTATTTGTTAATCCATCCGTATTTGTGTGTAGTGTGTGTGTGTTAGAGGCGAGTGGAGGCAAGTGGTTTTCGTAATATGACATGCTGTTGGAATGTGAGCAAGGTAATGTTTATGAAGGGATTCAGGGAAAAGGTTAGCCAGACTTGGGTCCTGAAGGCAGGTAGTGCAGTGTCCCATTTTATTTGTACAGTGGACCCTTGGTTATCAACTGTTCCACTTAAAGGCCAGTTTTTCAGCTTCCAGTTATCAGCCATCATTTCCCTTATCTGCCGTATGGGATGTGTCAACCCACTGCTGCCAGCCGCTCACGTCAGTCTGGCTCTCTCTCTGGGCGAGTGAGGAAGCTTCAGCTCATTCACGCAAACATTTCGCTATAATCCATTGTTTTTTGTGGTTGTTGATTGAGTACAACTGTGAAATAAGCAACCATGGGCCCAAATAAAGTTCCTAGCAAAGTTTCTTTGGTAAAGAAAGTGAGAAACATGATGGAATTTAAGAAAGAAGTTTTTGAAAAGCATGAGAGTGAAGGAGGAAGAGAGAGGGGAGAATGTGCCTTCTTCAGTGATTCTACGATATATATGATACTAAAGCAGCAGGAGTCAATAGAGGCTATAGCGCCAGCCAGCGATAAAGTGTAGCATTAACAGTGTAGCAAGTAAGTTAAGCGATTAAGCGATAGAGAAAGAAGTCACGAAACTTAACTCCCTCAATGTTGTTAGAGGTATATAGGGCTAGTGACAAAACCACTGCCCTGCCTATCTTCTACTACCCTAAACCAATGCCAACATCTCCCCCAAGGTACAGTAAATGTAAATATTTCTTATTTATAAAGTGTGGAGTAAAATGAAGTAAAATAAAGGTTGGATGTGAAAAGTGGGTTACATTAAGCATGTATGCACCTGGAGAAGAGAGAAGTGTAGAGGAGGGAGGGAGATTTTGGGAAATGTTGAGTGAATGCATGGGGAGTTTTGAACTAAGTGTGAGAGTAATGGTGGTTGGGGCTTTCATTGCTAAGGTGGGCAAAAATGTTGTGGAGGGAGTAGTAGGTAAGTTTGGGGTGCCAGGGGTAAATGAAAATGGGGAGCCTTTAATTGAGCTATGTGTAGAAAGAGGTTTGGTAATAAGTAATACATATTTTATGAAGAAGAGGACAAATAAATATACAAGGTATGATATAGCACGTAATGAAAGTAGTTTGTTAGATTATGTATTGGTGGATAAAAGTTGATGGGTAGGCTCCAGGATGTACACGTTTATAGAGGGGCAACTGATATATCGGATCATTATTTAGTTGTAGCTACAGTTAAAGTAAGAGGTAGATGGGAAAAGAGGAAAATGGCAACAACAAGTAAGAGGGAGGTGAAAGTGTATAAACTAAGGGAAGAGGAAGTTCGGGTGAGATATAAGCAACTATTGGCAGAAAGGTGGGCTAATGCAAGTATCAGTAGTGGGGAGGTTGAAGAGGGTTGGAATAGTTTTAAAAATGCAGTATTAGAATGTGGGGCAGAAGTTTGTAGTTATAGGAGGGTGGGTGCAGGAGGAAAGAGG